ATTAGGGTATTGTTTACTGCTTGATTGTTTGTCTGAGTTGGTAGTTCCTTTATTAGGGTATTGTTTACTGCTTGATTGTTTGTCTGGTGTTAATCCCTGCTTATCTGGGTGTCGATTGCTGGTGAGGGGTGTTCTGATCTTTTTGTTTCCTTTTTATTGTCTCTTTTGAATAGCGTGTAAATGTTGTTTATCTTTATGTGCCTGTTGATGGCTGACTTGTCTGAATACCAATCTTCCAGGAATTCCCTCGTGTTTTTGGATTTAGCTTAGTCTAAGATGCTGACAGTTTCCCAGTTGAAATTATGGTTAAGTCTGTAAGGACTATAACAGCCACTATGTAAGACAGGCAGGCAGAAGATAGCAGAGCACATCCATAAACACCAACGGGCAGTCAGAAGACACGATGAAAACTCCTTAATCTCACAACACATGGACATACTTAACCATAATTTCAACTGGGAATATCAGCATTTTAGACCAAGATCTTAGAATACAATCAATCAGTAAACAACAGCCTAATCTAGGAACCACCAAGAAAAAAACAACTCCCCCATCAACACTGACAGGACAGGTCACTGTATATAAACGGAGAGCAAGCCCCACTCCCTTCTAGCACTGAAGATGTTACCTAGACAGGTAACAAAACATCTGGAATCAAACATCCAAACTCAGAGAACCCCAAGGACTCCACAGTTCAACACTGAGCTATATATATTCTCTTCTGTTGGTAAAGTGAAACTTCCTGCTTCTCATATAGTTTACCCTGTTATGTGTGTATCAATTTCTACAACCCTTCCCACTTAAAAGCTCAGGCTGGCAAATATATTTTCCTATCTTTATCCTCCCCTAATGTCCTATGCAAGCCTTGGACTGATACAAATAGAAAGCAAGGCAATTAGTAGCCTGAGAGCTTTTATTTGCATGTTAAATATCTTCTACCAGTACCCAAGGTAGAGATAAAAGCCAGGAGAGAGTAACAAAGAATTGGAGAGTTCAAAGAAAGATTCTTTCCCTTGTAAATTATGCCAGTGTTCCAAGCAATTAGCCTGAAGAGTTTGGAAGATGGAATTCTGGAGGAAGTCCAAGACAATTCATAGATAAGGTGCCAGAGAATTCCACAAAAGCTAACCCAAAGTCAGTTGAGGGTCCAATCACAGGGCAAGAAGAAGGAAGAACTTTGGACCAGGTCATCACAAGGACACAGGTCAGGAAATTTTCAACAAGGGGAGGGATCCTGGGGGATGCTCTTAAATAGTAGGAGTGTGAGGCCTTGGCTAACTAGAGGAGTTAACGCCTTTCCTTTCAGGAAGATATGCTGATCTCCACTGTCTCCTTAGCTGACAGTGTGCTTTAGGGCTTGGCATTCAGAATCTGAATTCATGTTCTCTGAATCAGCACTCACCTGTGCTGGGTCTAAGTCATTATTCTCAGGTGGCTAACAACCTGTTCACTCTCCAGGTGCAGGCTAAGGATCTGCCTCTTCAGCCTCAGAATCAGAGAAGTCCATAATACCTGGAGACCATCTCACTGCGCATTTTCTTTCTTTGGTGGTCTTCATACCTCACCCATTTCTGCTTCAAGATCCTTGTCCTGACCAACACTGGAACCAAGTTTTTAGCAGCCAGTGCTGCCTAGAATTCATTTTAGGTCACCAGTCACTTTCCTTCTTTCCTCAACCTCTGTCTTCTAGCCTCCCAACTCTCTCCTCCTCCTTGCCAGAATATCAGCTCTTCTTTCCTGTGAGGAAATTTCTATCTGTGAAAAAAATGTGTTCTTCTTCTCCCAGTTTATCAGCTAAAACAACCATATGTGTCTATGCAAGTTCATATTGCATGGTAGATAACCCTTAGCTGCTGCATATGGTCACAGACATTTTACATACTTAATGTTCTGAAAATAGAATTTTTTTGTATTTTTGTTTGGAAGAATCTATCTCTGGGAACACAACATACATATCTACAATATTCTATGAACAATATGGCTTTCTAAAATTTGGCACAGAACTTCTATTGTTGTGCTATGTAATTTACCTGCATTATCCTCTGCAGAAATTGAAGCATTTGGAACTCATTTTTCTCTCAAACATAAGTAAATAATAATGTGAAATTTTCAGTTTTCATTTGTTATTTACAGGGAGATGCAGGAGAACCTGGGTCCAGCATCCGAGTAAGTATCTTTTGATTTCCCAAACACACATCTTGGTCAGTCAAAAATGTTGCGGCCTACTGCTAACTATTTCAACAATTTGTTCATTGCCAAAAAACAACAGATACATTTCGTGGGTTTCCCTTCTAACAACTGATGTCTCCAAGTTCTGGGAAAGGCTCAGGATGGGAAAGCCACACAATGGGTCTGGTTGGATGCCTGCTGATAACCTGGATCAAAGTGGTATATTTTTCTCATTGCAGGGTATGCCAGGCCCTCAAGGGAGTGTGGGACTCCCAGGACCACCAGGATCCCCTGGGCGTGTGGTAGGTTGCAAATATGCTGCTTTAACTTGAGAGAAGTATTACATTCCTGAAATCATACATGTTTGTTGTTGTGTTTCTTTTTAGGGTCCACAGGGCCCTCCAGGACTACCAGGACAGGTGGTAAGTTGCTTCTTCTCCTTCTTTTTGTTGGCCGTTCAGTTTTCCATGTGTCACCATTTGTACTCTCTATCACATTACACTGACTATTTCTTCTTAGTGAATCTGGCTTTAATGTTCATACAAACTGTAACTGTTCACTAGGGCGAGGCAGGGAAACCAGGTGTATCAGGAAGAGATGGTGTGCCTGGAAAAGAAGGGGAGCCTGGATTGCCTGGGAAAATGGTATGTCACTGTGTGAAACCACACAATTCCTCTTCATTTATTTATGCAGTTTGGAGTAGGATGGCTTACAGAGTTAAAAGGTAATAAAACAGTGAAGCAGTGAAAAGCACAACCATACCCATATGAAAAAAGACAAATCCTCAAACAGGTAAAATTCTTCAGGAGCACCCATCCCAACCAGGACCTGGGAAAACAGCCAGGTTTTCAAAGATTTCTTTAACATCATCAGGTTTGGAGCCATGCAAATCTTGGGCGGGGGGATGCTGTTCCAAAGGGCAGGCATCCAACAGAGAATGCACACCTCCTGGGTCCCAACAGATTACATTATTTAAGGGACCAAGACTACATCCATTCTGCCTGATCGTACAGGATAGGCAGAAACTATCGGACATAAGCAGTCCTGCAAATTAACTTTTAAAACAGGAATGCCACTAAAGTCATGTAGATGAACTCACATGAATGTAATGGGACATGTCTCTAAACAAACATGCATAGGATTGCATTGTCAGTGTGGGATTAAGCAGCACAGTGTCATCTGTGCTTCTATCCTTCTAAAGAAAAAATGTTTTTATTCGTTGCTTTCTAGGGCGTTCCAGGGCCTTCAGGACCTGCTGGTTCTAAAGGAGAGCCTGGAGATGCTGGGCCCCCAGGACAGGTGAGAGGCAGCCTTTCCTTTCTCTGTCCTTGCTAGATGACTTACATGTTTTGTTTTTGCTCACTTTCCTGTTTAGTGAAGTTTTTAAAAATGCACAACTACTTCTTTTTTGCTTAAGTTTTAAATTATTTGAAAAGCTGATGGGCTGTCAAAACAATAAGCGAATTTTTTTTTTCAAACAAACAAATATGCTTTAATAGCTCTACAATGATAGAACAGCTGTACTGAAATAGACCAAAGCCTATTAAGTGTAGTATTCTGTTTCAACATTGGTTGGCCAGTTAAATCCTTGTAGGACACTCCCAGCAGGAAATGAGTACAATAGTACCCTCCTGCCCATGTTCCCCAATACTGGGTACTGAGAAGTAATATGGTGTCTCTGCTAGTAGAGGTGACATATATAGTAAATATCATAATAGGTATTATCCTCCATATTTATATTTATATTGATGTCTTCTAAAATGAAATTCCACGAGCATCATGCCACTTGCAAAATTGAGTTTTGCAATAGTTGAGTTATATAATAATCGAATCAAAATAATCAAACATTATCCATCTTTTTTCCTCTTAATCTTTCCCCTTGGTATGTACTACGTATGTAACTATGTCAAGCAATATAGGCCCCTTAAGTATTTTTAATATTAGCTGTGTTGTGTGCCATTTTGATGAATCCTAATAAAGGTGTTCTTTCCTATGGACATTATATAAGTTATCTTTATCTTGAGGCTCAGGAGGAAAGGAAATAGGGTGTATGGAAGCCAGTGACATGGTATCAGAACAAATCTCTGAAACAATCATAGGGCTCTTTGTTCTTTTCAACCATTTGTCAGGAGGTTATATGAGCTAAGAAGGTATTGGACAATGTTCTGGGTTTTCCATGTTGCCAAAATATCTTTTAAAAAAAAAAATAAATAACCTGTAAGTCTTTTTAAATAGCGCATGTTGAGGTTTATTTAGGACTAAATATGGATGCAAATAGTTTTAGAATGGACAAGATATATGCTTTATTTTTTCAAAAAAACGGCATTCTTTCGGAGAGATTATACAACCATTAAATTTTGTAAACAACTATATGGAATGTATTTTTCATCAACAGTAAAATTTTCATCCTTTGTTTTTCAGACCATTGTTTGAAGGATGGAAAACATGATAGCATCCCGTGATTTTTTTATCATGGTGATGATGATGATGATGATGATGATGATGATGATGATGATGTTGCTGTTTCTTTCATTGTTAACATAGTGATAAGATTCAAAGGACAGTCCTTTATTATTAATTCCAGCAGGAAGGAGAAAAGGCAATTTATCTCTCCTTTTCCATTGTCTCAGAAACTGCTGTTTAGGTTTTCTTAGCTATATCTAATTTCTGCATTCATTTTTTGAAGAAAGCTTTATAGCAAGTATTGTTTTGATTTAATGTTACTTATTCCTGTTAATCTTTCTTCTTAACCTGATTGATTATTATAGAGCATAGTGGGACCTCCTGGAGTGAAAGGTGAGAAGGTAAGCTAAAAATCTGCACGAACAAATATGGAGAATTAATATAATATTGTTTGATGGGATAAGGAAGTACAAGGCATCAGTTAAATATTCTTTGGTAGCTTCAGATTTCCAGATTTTGATTCACAAGATTAGCCTAAAATTACTATAAAAATATTTATAGTAATTTTATTAAAGATTATAATTACAACAGTAAAAACTAATGCAAACTGAAAAAAAGATAGAAGAATAAAAAGAGTAGAAAGTTCAGAAAAGAAAAGAAAAAAGAGAAGAAGAAAAATAAGAATATAGTAAAGAAAAAGAAAAGAAATATATAAACAAGTGACTTGCCACCTTCATCACAAGTATAAACCATTTTAGTAGCTTATTACCTTCTCAAGATACAACAAATGATCTCTTTTTCCCATATCCCACCTCTTATCTACAAACAAATCCATAAAACATTGTCATTTCAGTCCTGATGTCAGCAAAACTTCATTAAGGGTTACTAGAGGTAACAACA